GAAAGAGAAGGATTAGGAAGGCACGGAGGGACGGAAGGACCAATGGACCGAGGGAGGGATGGAGTGACAGAGGGACGGAGGGAGGGAGGGAGGGAGGGAGGGAGGGAGGGAGGGAGTGAAAGAGGGACGGAAGGACCAAGGGACGGACAGATGGACGTACAGACAGACCGATAGACAGAGAGACGGACAGACAGACTGACAGATAGACAGACAGAGACAGACAGAGACAGAATGGGTGAAGAGAGGAAGGAAGGAGGTAGGGAGTAAAAAGAGAAGGATAGGAAGGCAGCATGCATGCAAACTGTTCCCTAGCCCTGTGCCTGTTACATTTTCCCCCCCTGAAAGGAAAGAGAAACGCACCAGTTCAGTATCGCTGTCGTCATCCTCAGTGAGCTGATAATCCACATCATCACAGTAGGCAGCAACACGGCTTGACTGGCTCCACGCACAATCTTCAAAGAACAGTTCCGCTGTCATGTGCCTCCGCTCCATCTCCTGCACGCTTGACAGGTGTGAAAACCACCACTGATCAGGAAACTCATCCCACAATCAACCGTCCTTTCCCTCCAGTCCTCCAAGGCCCACTAAAGCACCAGTACATGGTCCCAGCCAAGTTGAGAGTCCAATTGAGCCTCTCCGCAAATTTCGGAGGCTCGCATGCCGTTCGATAAAATACGTCAACGGCGGGCGGTCTCTGAAACAGGCCAGCGGCCGATGCACAGCATCTGCTGGTGGTTTAAGCCTCTCTCTCTTCAACCTTCTCATGGCTACGTCACCCGGTTTCAGGTCGCGTTTGCGACTATTTGCAATTTCATTGCACCTGTCACCTACACCTAAGGCTTTAAACTTGTTGTATATTCCCAAGAAAAGAAAAAAACTTGCTGTTCGAGAGAGAGTGCGTAGCTGGCCATGCCAATGTGATGGACCAGGCAGTGGCAGCCATCCTCCAGATACAACGGGGCACGCTCCGCTACTCACCACACATGCAAAATGAGAATGAATCTCCCACTAGAACATGGGCAGATACGCTGCCATATTTTTTGTCTTTTCTGCATGTCGTGAGTAGTGGAGGGGGGCCAAATACACAGGAGATGGTCATTTGGTAAGACTGTCGCAATTAAGATAACAACGATGGATTCGGGCGGAAAAGGGTTCTGAAACGTAAAAGCTGAAAAGTGAAAGATCTGGCACGTTAGAGTTAGAGAGAGCGAGGATATGTCCTCACAAACTCCACGTTCACAGGAAGCCTCATGTGCCCTCTGGATTGTGCCTTGACAGGTCTTTAGCTTATTGGTTAGGTGTTCGCCTGACAAGCCGTTGGTTGTGTGTTCAATTCTCGGATTGGACGTGCATGCAGGTCTTTTTTTTGTCGGGTAATCAAAAGCCCATATCAAGGTCCTCGTCAGACAGACTGACAGACTGTTTCAAAATCTTAACAGGGCATTCTGATGGCCGCTATCAGACACCGAGCACGAGATTGGATCTCAGCACAACGAGGAGGTCACCGGATCTCAGTCCAACTCTTCACTGGAGGGCGTTTATCTCTCCGACTTTGAGGGCACACAGAAGTGCCATCCCTTCGCATCACTTGTAGAAGCCTGATATCGCTTAACATGTGTGAATTTAGCATCTAGCATTAGCTTCGATCTCTTGATCTGCTGGTTCATAGTATCATTACTCAATGAGTTGATCCCACACGTCGATTTCGGAATATGTACAGTTGAAGCAAATGCTTGAAGGGTTGTGACGGGTCACTACTACCCTCTTCACCCGAATAGAACGCCCGGTCATTATAGCTGTATTTGATGCAACTTTCAGTCCAGATACGGTGATAATCACCAGCCCGGGTTCTATTCAGGGTGGCGACGATTGCAGGGGCTCTTCACTGTTTTTTGTTCCCGAGTAAACAACTTGCACAGAATTTCTAATCGACGTCCAGGCAGATCGAAGTATGATGGTAGTATGGTGGCCAGCGTATAGCGCAGCAGTGCTTGGGCAGCATGCAGCGTATAGCGCAGCAGTGCTTGGGCAGCATGCAGCCAGTGCCCGAACGAGGAGTGTTGGGGCAGGCACTTTCCTAAATGGAAGTGACCTGCCTGCTGCGTGCGGCCTGCCTGCATTGGGCCTCGGTCCAGAAGCTTCCGGTAGGCCCCGTGAGGCTGAGCCCCAGTCCGAACGAATCAGGCCCAGGGCCTGTGGTGGTTATTTGTGCCCAACGGCCCTCAGCCTGTGTTCGGCCCATGTTGGGTATCTGGCCCAGGGCCTGCCTCAGTTACATACGAAAAAGGCAGCCTGGTCCTGGGCGCTCTCAACCAACTGGCACTGCGCAACTGCCTGAATTTCCCCAGTTGCGTGGTGAGTCTGGTGACCCCAAAAATGGGCCTGTAGGCCTTGGTCGAGCCTGCCTTCACTTAGGGCGGCCGGCTATACTGAAAATAGGGCCCAGTAAGGCGTATCGAGGCCTTGCGCCTCGCAGAAGCAAATGAAGTCCAATGAACAGAACAAAAGGGTCTGCCCAACCCTTGCGGTGCGAGTCACCTACTCAAGAAGGGGGGGGGGAGAGGGGAAGGGGGGCTTCTATGAACCACCGCCCCCCCCCAAAAAAAAAACAAAAAAAAAACATTGCCTTCCTAGGGGGCTTCTGCTGGCCGGGAAGCTTACTGGAAGCACCCAGAAGGGCTCTAGGAAGGACAAGGTGCGGGGAAGGTCATTCCAGTAGCCTCTCGGGCCGCAAATCGCGCTCACGCGCTCACGGACGAGCTGGAAGGAGCAGCCAGCCATAGCCGAGCTGCGCTGCTGTATGCTGGATGGGGCGCATGGTGGTCCTTGGGTGTATGTGGCATCTGTGAGTGGGGGATCGAGGTTGTGAGTGATACGAGAGACATACCTGGTGCTTGAGACGAACGGCATTGTCCGAGATCTGCTCGTACTTCAGGGAGCTGTTGACGTCACCAGCGGCATTGTAGATAGGCTAGATAGGATCTGCCATTTGTAGTCTGGGCGCAGAGCGCCAGATAGGATGTCGACATTGGTTATTTGTTGATGATGATGAGACTACTCGAACATCGTCACTTATGAGCTTTTGCTGTGCTCTTATTTGGTGGGACTCGTGTTGCAATTCTGCTTTTGGTTCGAGGTCACGACTATCTGGTCTCATGTGCATGATGCTGCTTGGTTTCTGAAGTTTGCTATCGCTCATTTTCCTTGCACTTCTTTTTTCTTGAACTCATGCCTGCTGGTGATAAGCAACCACACTGATGGCCCCCAGAATAGAAGGGGCCTGACTCCTGAGTGATTGAAAAAAGAAAAAAGAAAAAAAAAACGAAAGGATCGATATGCAAACAGAGAAGTACCTCCACGTCTTCTAAGATGCATTTTCGGACTCTCGATGGAACACCCCAGTTTACTGCAACAACAGGATCAAGGAAATCTTCGGAAACCTGCAAGCCCTGCATTTTTTCAGCACACAGGACATAGAAGACATAACAGATTTGTCACTCTCTGGCACTGCTCCATCACTGCACCACCTATATGAGGTACCCCCTCCATATTCAAGAAGGGGGGGGCGGGGGGGGGGGGGGCACCCCATCCGGTTACTTATGGGGCAAGCATACGAATGACCTAAATCAAGCGCAGGACGAGGGACGCAGCTTCGTACACATTCCGAACCAGCACAACATCCAAGTGTCGATTGCCGACAAGGTTGTCCGAGCCTTGCTTGCCTAACTTCACAGTAGTGACCTACCACAACCGCTCAAGCATGCTACCGTCTTCAGCCGAATAAAAGGCCTGCTCATTATCGCTGCATCTGGACTGAAAGCTGTGCCAAATGCAGCTATAATGACTGGGCGTTCTATTCTGGTGAAGACGGTAGTAATGACCTGTCACAACATCCACCGCTCCATCCGTGCAAGGTACCTCCTCAATTTCCGTACACATTTTAGAACAGCACAACATCCCAGCATCAGTTGCCAAACATCATTCAAGCCTTGCTTGCGAAACCTCATCACACAGAATCCCAAAGTCATAAACAAATCCGTGACGAGGATCCCAAAGGCATAAACAAATCCGTAAATCTTCATCTGCCACTGCTCCATCTGTGTGAAGCACAACCTCTGCTTTGTAGTAATTTTTTACCTGAGTACGGATCCGGGCCGCCCGGTCGACCAGCGCCTGCCCGGGGGAGGTCCCGGGCGGCCTGGACGGGCGGGCGGCCCGGTTGGGGGCCGGGCACCCCCAGCACACCTTGTCAGGGAATCAGACCCCGAATCGCCGTCGGCTGGGTCCCCAGGGCCTACCGGGTCTGACCAGGCCTGAAAATAGGCGAGTCGGGCCCGTGAGGCCAGCTTTTTTTTTTTGAAATTGTGACGGCCCTCCGGCCGTCGATCATCCATGATCGACGGCCAGAGGGCCGTTTGATGTTTGGAGGGAAAACGTCGACCCGTTTGAACAGCCGACTGGCTGAAGCGGCCTGCATCGGCTGTCCAAACGGGGCCTTGCTCTTCCCCCGCCGGCACAGTTCGTGGTTCCGCCGCCCGTCGTGCTGGAGCCGCCCGTAGCCATCGCCTGGGAGCTTCACTCCCCCGTCGCCGTGGACCCGCCCGTCGCCCGTCGCCCGTCGCCAGTGTCTTGGAGTCGCCAGCGCCGTGGAGCCGCCCGTCCCCCTCTCATCATCATCATCATCATCATCTTCTTCTTCTTCTTCTTCTTCTTCTTCTTCTTCTTCCTCTCCTCCTCCTCCACTTCCGACTATCTTCTTTTTCTTTTTTTTTTGTTCCATTCGTCATCGATAGGTCGCGAGATAAACGACAGGTAAGGAAAAAAAAAAAAAAACTGATCCCTTCTTCTTCTTCTTCTTCTTCTTCTTCTCTCCTCCCCCGCCTCCCCCTCATCTTCTTCTCCTTC